GTGAATTTAGAAAAGGCGATAATGCTTTTCAAACAACCTGAAATATTGATGATGTTTATTTATTTATAGAAAATACAATTTTGCAGATGGTTTGAGAGGTTTCGAAAAGGAGACTTCAGCTTTAAGAGTTCAGCTAGAAACAGTTTATCCTGTAACTCAACAGGATAAACTGTTTCTAGCTGAACTCTTAAAGCTGAAGCTGCATTTGTCTGAATGGAAGACAAGTAGTTTTTTATCGGTCGAATATCTAACTCAAAAACTGAAGCTATTGGACGGTTCGCTGTCGTCCCCTGAAACTTAGAAGATTGTCGAAACTTGCGAAAGTTTATTTGACAGACGCCAATACTCAAGCAAAAGCGGATATATTAACTTCTTTTCTCTTTTATGAAGGCATATCGCCATTTTGGTGTAAAGTAATGGAGCATGGTTATTTTACGCAAATGTACAATTATCTCAGCTTCGGTCATCGATGGCAAATAGGTTAAAGCAGTGAATAGACGCCAATCCATAGTAAATTAGCGGGATAACGTTATGTCGTTCTTTTTAGGTTGCTATTAGTTACTGTTAAGATTACAAACTGAATCTCGTCTCAACAGTCGAAGCATCTGCTTTTAAGTAAAATAACTTCACATTGATAATCGCTAATTTATGGTAGTCATGACAATACAAGCCTCTATAAATTATAAAGAAATTGAAGACATTGTTTGTAAAAAAAAAAAAAACTTACACGCAGTTATTGTTCTTCTGGTGTTCCATCAGATTACCAATTATTCTGTACTTTAGAGAAATATTTTATAATTTTCTTACTAACTGAAATAATTGTATATTTCCTCGCCAGCATTAACAATTATTTTTTGAACCCAGTTAAAAAAAAAAAAAAAAAAAAAACGACAGGATAATGAATTCTGATTTTCAAAGCCAGACAGACTTTGACAATATGGAAGATCAAAGCAGCATAATTTTCCTTTATCTATGCGACTCTTTGCCCAGGTCAAAGCAAACCGTAACAAAAATATATCTACAATTATGCAATAAAACTCTGTGTATGATTTTTGTCTTGTAAAAATGTTTCGTTCCAAGAATTTTCAAAATAATGAATTGCAATAAAATAGAGTTCTGTGAGAACTATGTGGTTTCCTTTAAATTACAACCGGTCAATGTTACGATGGCAGCGGACATCCATTATCAGAGTATGTTAAATTTCCTTTGAGGGAAATGAGGTCCAGTCTCATTAATTATAAAGGTGGGAACATATAGAAAGTACTGACAATACAAATCGCTGGTAGTCTTCATTCTCCAATATCATATCTTGATTTAGTGGGAATCAAGTAAATACCATTCTCCAATATGAATGTGAAACGTGAACACTGTTGGCTGATACAGAGAGAAGGATTCAAGGGGTTTGAAAACAAATGCACGAGAAAACTCCTTGGCATCTGGAAACGTAAAAATCAATGAGTTTGTGCGAAAAAGAGTTGAAGGTTTTGTGGGCCACTAGAAAAATGGCGTGTTTGGACACATTACAAAGCACGACATCCTGTACAAGACCATCTCCGTTGAAGGTGGACGTAGGAAAGGAAGCCAAAGTAAAAAAAAAACAAAAAACTGGTTGGACGATGTTAAACAATGGACAAGTATGACGATACAAGAATTGCTGATGGCTGCCATTGATAGACCGTTGTGGAGGATATATAGCGTGGCTTCCGTATTCGGATTCCCTCACCCCACGATTATAATGGTCAAGGGGATGATGATGATGAACCTAGAGGATGTTAATGTATACAGTCTATATACAGCAGAAAACGGAAGATTGAAAATATTCAAGAGTTTGATTGAAAGACGCTTCTTCAGTTTCTTCATCTCTAGGTCTTCTTCAATCTTATTATTCCAGTGTATACCGATCATTCTTGAAAGATTTCTTCTTGAAATATATGAAGAAATAAATGCTACCCCACCAAACAAAACGACTGTGATATAAATATTCTTATGAAGGTGGGTATTGATAATGACTGTTACATAAATAATCTTACAAAGATAGTTATTGATAATGACTGTTACATTAATACCCTTATGAAAGTGGCTATTGATAATTATGTTACTGAATAAATTTTAATGAAAGACGTCCATTTATGTTCATACAGGCCTCTATAAGATATGAAAAAAGCAGAAATTAGGAAAAAAAGATTTTGTTCCATGTGATTGTCAATCATTCTGTCTTTTATAGAAATGTCTTAATGATCAAACCACCTTGTCTACATTACCTTGCTGCAAATGAAAAGACCTTTACAAATGTCGAATTCTAAACGAACTTTTTTCTGTTCCTAAATTCAGGCATTACATAAAAGACAACCATATATGTGAGTTTAACTTTCATGATTAAAACTTTATGTGCAGTTCTTTTTAAAATATTTCTAAATTTAATCTTGTTACTTCAATTATAAACAATGCAAACATATCGAAAGTAGGTATTTCAGTCGTCTTAAGGAAAATGGCAATATACAGTTTCATTTTATATTCTGTTGTTAACAGGGGCAAGAAATGGCATGTAAATTTTAACAGCTGTAAAACGAAACTAGTATCTTTTAGTCATTATAGAAAACCATTTTACCTTCAATCAGCATGGCTGATGCTAAACTTCATTAATTATTGAAATACATGAAAAAGTGCAACTTTATAAAGACGTTCACAAGAACGATCTTATGATGGTTTTGAAGGAGTTTATGAATAATCATGTAACCTGTGTTGAAGGAATTCTAATTAATCGATAATGTTTGATATTTTCTGTCTGATCTTTAATTCGAAAATTACTTATGGGATGGAAAATAAAAGAATGTCATCAAACTCGGTTCAAAATTCTTTTACAAAATTCTACAGGACTATTGTGTTCAAATAGATTTAAAAAAACAAGCTCATGGAGACATATATACAGCAATTATTAACAATAATTGTTTGTATATTACAAGAGAGACTGAATTTAGCGACCAGTTAGATTTAGCAAAGTGACTGAAGGAAAGAACAGCGATGTTCCATGATGAAGTAGCCGATCATGGTTTTTCTGTAACTTCCGGTCCCTTGGAGCTCTTAATAAACTTTCTCTTTCTGCTATTTCCTCTAAGATCTGCTCCGCTGTTCATTTACTCAGGCTCACTAAGGATGTTATGCGCTGCTTGCCCCTGTCACCATTACCTCAATCTGCCCCGTGAGTATAACAGTTTCCAAGTAAACCTTCTTCGTTTCATGCCCCAGAAACAGCAACTGTCTCTTCCTCATGGTAAGTATTAGAGTCCTTTCTGTTTCACTTTTCTCGAAAAAAACTTCATAGATTCGGTGCATATCCTCAGCATCCTTCTGTTGAACCACCTTTCTATTGTTTCATATCTCCGCTTCATCTTTGAGGTGATCTTCCAGCACTCTCTGCCGTAAAAGAAAAACAGATATCACATAGCAGTTTAGTAATCTTTTCCTTGATTCAAATGAAATGTTCCTATTAGTTAGTATTCTACTGAGCTTTTGTAATGCTTCTTAGACTATACGAATGCGCTTTTGGATATCAGTGTCACCATATATATATATATATATATATATATATATATATATATATATATATATATATATATATATATATGCATCTATGTATGTATATGTATGTATATGTATATATATATATATATATATGTATATGTGTATGTATATACATTTATATATATGTGTATGCATATATGTGTATATTTATATACTTATAAATATGTGTATGTACATATATATATATATATATATATATATATATATATATATATATATATGTATGTACATGTATTTATATATATATGTATATATATGTATATGTCTATGTATATGTGTATGTGTTGTGGATTCCGAGATGAAATTCGGTCTCCAATGAAAGACAAACGCAAGAATTGAATATAAGAAATAAAATGTATTTACACAATCATACAAAGGGTAATACTGTTAGTAAATCCAGGAACGCGGTTAGTAGCAATAACATATAGATATATACAGTCTCGAAGTAGGACTTCCTTAGAGTCTACGTGCTTGTAACTGTGACTTCTTCAAGCGGTTACCTCCCACTATTACTCTACCTCCAACTCAATCACTGCTCTCTCTCTATATATTCTGACTGACTCTGGGTATTTGACGGCAGCAGTCCAAGTAACACTGGTAGAGCCCACTTATATGAAAAAGGGGAGGACCCCATAACAGTATGTATATACATTTCTATATATATATATATATATGTATATGTGTATGCATATATATGTGTATATATATATACATATATAAATATGTGTATGTACATATATATATATATATATATATATATATATATATATATATATATATGTGTGTGTGTGTATATATATATATATATATATATATATATGTGTGTGTATATGTATATATTTATATACTCTGTTAAGTACTAAAAAGGTTATATTTTGAAACTAACAACCCTAGCCAAGAATCAGTCAGTCGTTTGAAAATATAGATTCCCTGACGAGTATAGGGCATCGGTCTTAGTTGTAAATCTTTTTTTTACGGAATGGTCTTGCACGAATTTTTTCTCTTAGAGTGGTAACCAACAAAGTTTGGTAAGCTCAATACAGCATATAGCAAAAGATGGTAGAATATATGGGTTTCTACCATTTCAAGTGGATTTATGTGTAAGGGAACGCAGTATAATGCTATTTCACTCTTAATACCGCTGAAGTATTAATGAACAATAATTGTTTCTACAGGGTGGTCCGAAAGTCTTGTCACTATCTACCAAAAAAGTAATTAGAACATGTAATACAAAGCACATGTACTGGATTCAGTTTATTCACTTTCATTGACGCCGTCACACATCGAGAAAATCTGTATGAACGACCATCATTTTCGTGGCACAAAAAATGATACGGCCCCTCGTCCTGTGTAATATTTTACGAAACTGTGTTTTGTTAATTGTTGTAAAGACTATACTGGTATCGTTCATGTGAAACTGTCTTTGATAGATAGATAGATAGATAGATAGATAGATAGATAGATAGATAATCTTGGTGAGATATCGAGAAATTGATATCGAACAGGCTAAGACACGGGAGAGTAAGACAGAGGAGAGTTCATGAACAGACTTTGATCCAGTAGATAGATAGATAGACAGACAGACAAATAGATAGATAGATAGATAGATAGATAGATAGATAGATAGATAGATAGATAGATATGAAGGCAGGAAAATTAAACCGCCCTCAACCGGCATGGGAAAGTACAGAGAGCGGAACAGATTTGTAGTTATGGTGCGTAGATGTTTATCCCCTTAATCGAGTGGTTGAGCAACACACCCTGCCTAATATTTTCCACTGTCATGAAGAGGAGTGACTACGATTGAATCAATAGCTGCATCAAATGCAAGGAAAGTATGGTCACCCTGTCGTGCCAGAATATTCTCTTCAGAATCAATCTTGAACATTTAAAAATCTACCATCCGTGCATTGAATACTGTTGCCATATTTGGTCTCATACTCCTGCTGTACATCTCGAGATTCTTGACAAAATCCAAACAAGTGTCTGTAATGTAATCGACCCTGACCAGACAACTTGGCTTCAGTCAATCCGATGTGATGTTGCTTCTCTCTGTCTTTTCCACAAATATTTTCATGGCATCTGCTCTGATGAGCTTTTTTTTTCCCCTGATGCTCCGACTACATGGATATAAACGTGCTACTAGATTGGCATCTAGGTGTCACACTTTTTGCTGTTAAAATCGCGAAATCTGCTTGGCCAAATGCGGAAACAATCGCCGACTTCTGTCTTTTTGAACTCCGTTCATATTTTGTCTTTTCCACCCTATTCTTAGTCTTCTCTTTCACTTTCATTTCCTGTACACCCCCCCCCTATGTACTAGTGGCATTAACACCTTGCTTGGAATTAACTGATAAAGGAAAAAAAAAACAACAATATATCCCCTTTTTTGTAAGTAAATCACCCCAAGCAAGGCGGGAGTGCCACTAACACTCCAGGGTTTACAGTGGTTGAGAGTAAGAATAAAGAGGAGTGTTTGGGGAAAGGATAAAGAGAAGAACAGGGATCAAGGTCAAGGCATCAGAAAATGTCGATTGACATTACATTTGAATATTTGAAGATTATATCTATCAAGGAAGCAAATGATAGGAACGGAGTTCCACTGACTGGATGTGCGAGATAAGAAGCTGTTGGAGTAAAAGAGGTTGCTATATTTAGCCGTTTCCAGAGAAGGGTTGGTTCCGAGATGCCAACCTAGAAGCACACTTAAATTCATGCAATATGGTAACAAGTGAAAGTAGCCCGTCAGAGCAGTTGCCATGAAATTACTTGTAGAAAAGACAGAGGGAAGCCACAGGACGTGTGTGAGAAAATGACTAGAGACAGGATGCCAGATCAGGACTAATTACGTTGCATATTCGTCTGTCGATTTTGTCGAGAACCTCGAGATGAGTAGCGGGAGTACCAGACCATATATGGCAACAGTATTCCATGCAAGGACGAATGGTTGATTTGTAGATTTGAAGATTTGAAGAATGGACTCAGACGAGAAAAACCTTCTGGCATGACACAGAGAACCAACTTTCCTTGCGGTAGATGAAGCTATAGATTCAATGTAATTGTTCCACTTCAGGTCAGTGGACAGCTTCAGACCAAGCAGGCGCAGAGATGCAAGCTCGTGGATTGGATATCAGCCATCCTGATAGGAGACAGGGTGGGTAAATGAGAGCAGTTTCGTTTTTTTTGTTTGTTTTTTCTACAGACAAGCCCATATGAATATTCTAAATTTCATATCAAACATTAATTATAGTTTTTAACGTAGCATTTCAAAATCAATGCATTTATAAAGATTCCATGATTTGTAACTTTTAAGATCTAGCGGAGGGCTATTTTGATACAAAACTAAAAATTCCCAAGACAATAGCAATTTAATCTATATTTAATTTTGTACGAAACTATTTTTTTCACAATTGGTACCGTTTTTAAACAGACAGAAGAAAAAAAAAACGGCAAATCGCACTTCTCAAACCAACACCAATAATGAACTCAATTGTTACTATATCAAGTAATAGTATTTAAAAAACGGACTTTTTTTTTTTACGACATTTGAGTAAATTAACATTTCAGTGAGTATTTGCGGGTTCAGTCTACTGGTTACAACATGGAATTACACGATAATGAGACATGAGTTTATGCTAAATTTAGCAGAGCTAGATTTTTTAACAAACAACCCTGTCCAGGATTTTAATTTTCTTTTTGACATATACTTCGAGAAGGCGGGGCATCATTGGATCTCCCTACTTCACATTTCGTTATTAGATGAGGATATGCCTATCTTCTTAAGAAGAATCGTATACTAGTTTCCTTATACACAGATTACCATTATTTCTATACTAGTGGACATTAACACCCAAGTGACTAGTTTAATATTTCGGAAAGAAAAGAGATGGATTCTTACCTTTCCTAAGGCTATTGGAGTGAAATTGAACACAACAGAGAGGTCGATATTTGGACACGGCTCGTTACTACTACTTCTGCGTCGATAGCCGCTACACCAAGCTAAGCAAACGTTCTCTACCCGGTTAGGATTTCTCACGTCAGTGCTTCAGTCGGCGGTTTTTGAGGGTTTTTCTTTTTCACTTTAGTCAACTACATATTTGCATTTTACCGCCCGTCCTGAGCATGACGATAAACTACATCCGGCAGCAAAAACTCTGATCAGGGAATTGGCGGTTTTGAAGAGCATAGAAACACATTTTAACTGTTGTTGTTCCCAGCTTCACCCTGCCCCGGGGTGGTAGCACCTGTTGGAGGGGTTCCTAGCTATGGCAAATAATGAACAAAAATCAACAGTACATTTTTATAAAAAAAAATGAGCAACAATCCATTTTTATAGCAAAATGACAATGAATGCATCACTAAATAAATAAATAAATTTATATAGCAAAATTACCAACAATACATTTTATGATCTACAAACTATATATCTAACGAAAATACCTTCAATCTGAAAGTATAAAATTATGTACAAAATATCTGTAGTTGAAAGCATAAAATTACGTAAAAATATTTAGATTTCGGCAGTAAATAACCCATACAGGTGTTGATAGAGATTTTCCAAACGTAGCTTAGATGTGGCACATGGCCGAAAGCATGGGGCATCCAGTGAGGATCGAACTCACTTTTCAATAGTAACTGATCTAGCAAGACAAGATTGCTAACCATTATACCATGCCGAGGTGCCCCCATACAGGTGTTGATATACCACTAAACAAAATCAACCAACCAATTTTACCGGACGTACGAAAATTTATTCAAAACTTCTGAATGCCAAACTGATTAACAATTCTAACGATTAAAGTAGAAGACAACAGTAGTTTAATGACGTAGCAGTCCAACAAAAAAAAAAGAAAAAAAAGATCACTAACGGCTCTATGAATTTCATTCAAATAAATAATACGGATACTTCAAATCTATTGATTATGGCAACGTATTAATCATTCAAAGATAGGCACAATATCTTGAAGTGTTAAATATTTCATACAAAATTATTTAGTGAACAGGTGATTTTTTTTCCTAATAGTGAATTATGGGATTGGCAACTGATCTCTCCTCTGACCGAGCTCTAACAGCTCAAAGGGAAAAAACCTGGCTGGTTACATTCAATGCTTGGAAAAGCAAACGACTAACATTCCATCATTGCCTATCGGACCACGAACTATCACCAATCACAATGTATGTTGCCTCGGTGAGTTTCCGTGCATTGAGTGCCTACTGGGACTTAAACCCAACCCAATATCTCAAGTGGAACTCGTACTTACGATCCATTGTTAAAGAGGCCCTGCATATTGTAGGTTCTCTGTATCGCTGAATCCTCGTGATATCCGCTAACTTAAAAGAACCATTCCAGTCTTGATAGTGGCCAAAATCGTCTCCTCGTCCTTGTGGGTGATAAATTATTTTCCGCCCTACAACCAATTTCTCACAAACGAAACGTTGCGAGACACTCGCTGCTCTATCGGTATTTCCATGGAAATTGCTCAAACGAACTACAGTCCTTAGTTCCAGCACTTCTAACCTTCGGGAATAAGACTCGTCATGCCACGTACATTGTAGCAAACCTCCCTCATTCTCTTCGTATTCATTTAGGGATATGAAAGTTCCACTTGAACGGCTTCTTCCCTACGTACCTCTCCTCCATAGAACCGACTCCCAAGATGATTATTCCATGTTCGCTACAATCTTAACCTGTTGAAGTCAAGGGTTAAATGTTATCTTCCTCACATGTCTGCATAAACTATGCCACTTACTATGTAATCAATGATATAGAATCACATCAAAATAAAACGAGAATATACCATATTTTCCGTCATATTATACGAACGTAAAACAAATAAGTTACCAAGTTGGCTTGCATCTTATGCCCCTAATGGTTGGGCTTCCATAAGGCATACCACCTTCTCGAAGACAGAAATCATTGAAAGTAGGTATGTAGGTAAGTAGGTAGGTAGGTTGGTAATAAAATATCAGAAGATAAAAGAATATATATTTGTGCCGAGGTAAATATATACGGTATAAGATACAAAACGAACTATATAGATATAAAGTGACAGACAAATAGATATATAGATAGATATGTAGATAGATTTTGTGTATATATATATATATATATATATATATATATATATATATATATATATATATAGGAAATTTGGACAGTTTCCACACTTAGTGTCCAAAAAGAAAGCAATTTTTCGAACACAAGACAAATTAGATAAAAAAAGCTTAATCGTAGTACCTTGTCTGTCGTTTTTTTATGAAACATGCATATATATATATATATATTTATTAAAGACATTTTTTTTTTGTTTAACGTTGTTATTTTATAGATACAAGTATTTAAGCAAATGCTCTGTTTATGATAAACAATATTAAATAACATTTACCGGCCTGAATGTCCGAGAAATTTTCATAGAAAATATTCATTCTTTGACAGGATTCGAACCTGCATCCTATACGGAACCGTCATATAGGCTGACGTGCCTTACCTCTAGGATACAAAGAACCGTTCGGTAGACAAGGTCGAATTTACTGCTTATAAACTCCAATCTTCCATGAATCTCGTACATTCATAACTGCTCTGGCGTATCAAATGTAAACAAATGACGTCAAATATTAAGTAATAGACAAGGTCCGACAATTTATTTATTAAAGACATTTTTTTTATGTTTATCATAAACAGAGCATTTCCTTAAATACTTGTATCTATAAAATAACAACGTTAAACATAAAAAAAAATGTCTTTAATAAATAAATTGTCGGACCTTGTCCATTTAATATATATATATATATATATATATATATATATATACATACATATATATATATGTGTGTGTGTATGTATGTGTGTGTGCGTGCGTACGTGTGTGTAGATAGATAGATGGATAGATAGATATGAACAGACATACATACATACAGATATGAACATAGATAGATAGATAGATAGATAGATAGATAGATAGATAGATAGATAGATAGATATGAACAGACATAGATAGATAGACAGGTAGACAGATAGATAATGAACAGACATAGATAGATAGATAGATAGATCAGGAAGCGAATAAGATAGATAGATAGATAGATAGATAGATAGATAGATAGATAGATAATGGGATAGAATGAGATAGATAGATAGATAGATAGATAGATAGATAGATAGATAGATAGATAGATAGATAGATAGATAGATAGATCAGGAAGGAATGAGATAGATAGATAGATAGATAGATAGATAGATAGATAGATAGATAGATAGATAGATCAGGGAAGGAATGAGATAGATAGATAGATAGATAGATAGATAGATAGATAGATAGATAGATAGATAGATAGATAGATAGATAGATCAGGAAGCGAATGAGATAGATAGATAGATAGATAGATAGATAGATAGATAGATCAGGAAGCGAATGAGATAGATAGATAGATAGATAGATAGATAGATAGATAGATAGATAGATAGATAGATAGATAGATAGATAGATAGTGGAATGAAAGGAAGTCACATCTGCATAAAATCAGATCTAAGCAGAATTGAAAATAAAAAAAAACAATTGAGAAGAAATGGAAAAATAAGTAAAAAAGGAATTATTATTGAATGAAAGCACACTGACGAATGAAAACTACGATTGAAAGAATCAAAAAGACCTCTTCGTAGAAGGAGTAATGAAAAATACTAATGAATGCGAATGAAGAGGAAAGTGAAGAAATCTACTGACAAACCGGAAGACAAACTCGAATGGTCATGGATAATATCAAAGGGCCTAAATTCCTGATAGCCCTAAAAAACAAATGCAAAAAAAAAAAAAAAGAATAAGAAAGAATAATGGAATGAATGAACGAAGGAATGAATGAATGTGTGAATGAATGAATAAACGAATGAATGAATGCAAACATATTTGGACGTAAAAGTAGAAATCATAAGAAGTCAGATATTATCTTCACAGGATTAATAAAGTCGGCAGATAAAAAGAAACTGACAGATCCAGTGGACGCCATCGGGAGTTTATGAGATTTCCGTTGAAATCATAGCAAAGAAGATGTATAGCGTGAACATGACTGATGCATCTTGGGAAATGGGTGTAATGATTGCTTTCCAATGACTGACAGCGGAGTCAAGGTGTATCAGTGCGGAGGTAAAACGGTAAAAGACATCATCACCAACAGAACATTTCAAAATCTGTGAAGTATAAGAAATAGGTGAGCATGATTTCGAAGTAAGACAGGTTGATGTGAAGAGACGCAATTGGACATTTGTGGCAAAACAGGATTACAGATTTTAGAAGAAAACTAATGTACCGTTTAGGAAAAAAAGTGCAGGTAGATTTGACTACTGAATGTAATGACAAATGGACTGACCAGTTTTAGATTTCATTTGGAATAGAAACATGATATTTCGAAAGAAGTATTGACTTATATTTATGGCATTGTATGAATTTGCAATTGATATGAAGGAATTACGAATGATAGATAATGGACACCATGAGATCGATAGATAGATAGATAGATAGAAAGAAAGAAAGAAAGAAAAAGGACACATAGATAGATAGATAGAAAGAAAGAAAAAAAGGAAATAAATAAAGAAGGACACAAATATATATATATATATATATATATATATATATATATATATATATACATGAATTATTCACACAAAACTAATGCAAAGGTTAATGATTTAAATGGCGAGACATCCATCTCGCAAACAATTCAAATAGTACACAAAACCTCCAGATCCGTTATGAATGAATTGATCCTTGTTTATATAAATTTCTGCCGTATTAGTTGTTATTTTACTACAAGCTTTCGTCTGTTCCTACAGACATCTTCAGGTATATAATAGATGTTGTTCTTGCTTTTTTTCTCTTAGTAATAAGAGGACATCGAAAATATATGTGTATTGTATCCGAAATTCTATTGAAAATGAGATATTGGTTTTGAACGCGCCAAAGCAACGCTGAGTTTGATTTTAAATTTCTTTTTTTAAAGTGTTTATGTTTATACCAAATATGGTAATGAACAAATTATTTTACTGGTAAATTTTACTGTCAAAGTGGCATGAACTATATTGTTCAATAATTACAGTAATGTCGCACTTATTAACCAAAAAGTCGCACATGGATAAAGTTATTTATATAAATATATATATATATATATATATATATATATATATATATATATATATATATAAAAAACAGACCACTTTAAGGTTCCATTATAATAATTTATTTCACCAGAGAGCCCTTTTAAGGAAGCTGGATCATCAGATCAACTCTTCCCAAAAATGAAACGAAAGATGAAATGAAAAAAGATGAAATGAAAATTCACAAGTGTGAATTTTCATTTCATCTTTCGTTTCATTTTTGGGAGTGTTATTCGATGATCCAGCGTCCCTTAAAAGGGCGCTGGTGAAATAAATTATTACAATGGAGTTTTAAAGTGGTCTGTTTTTTCTTTAAATGGTTTGTTTTTCTTTAAATTATTAGCTCTGGATTTGCATTGAGCTCTCAGGATTTCATCCTCCTTGGGACTACCCATACGGATTACCAAGTTTCATAACTTAAAGATATATATATATATATATATATATATATATATATATATATATATATGAGAGAGAGAGAGAGAGAGAGAGAGCTGAAATGGCTAGATAGCTAGGTAGATAGCTAGATAGCAAGATTAGAAATTGCACAGATATCTCAGCAGATAGACCGTAAATATCTGTCAGTAAAATAGTTAAAAAGAAAGGGGCGTTAACAGGCAGTAATATCCCAAAATTAAAATAAACAGAATGATAGTGGTATTGTGAGATAGATAGATAGATAGATAGATAGATAGATAGATAGATAGATAGATGTGTACAGAATGAGATAAATTGATAGGTGTGAGCAGAATAACGTAGATAGATAGATAGATAGATAGATAGATAGTGACAAAGAAAGCATGTAAAAGGAATGTTGCAATATCAGTTATGCACGGGGAGACAGTGTGCGTTGGAAGCGTGGTACAGGATCGAAACGAAAGCGAGACGGTCTTGGGGATATTGGAACAGCTGAAGAAAGAAAGAATTTAGAAAAAAGTCAAATTATAAGAAAGATAAAATTAAACTCAGATTTGTAGACAATGAAATAACGAAAGAAATAAGGAATTTAGCAAGGAAAACAGAAAGAAATAATCGATTTAGTAAAAATAAACAAAAAACAGAGAGAAATCCTGAAAGAAATCCTAAAAGAAGGAAATTATGAAAGGAAACAATGTAAGGTACGTGACTAATAGGATATGTTTTGGAAAAGAAAGAAAGAAAGAAAGAAAGAAAGAAAGAAAGAAAGAAAGAAAGAAAATGAAAGTGAGGAAAGAAAGAAAAAAGAAAGAAAGAAAATAAAAGTGAAAAGTGAGAGAAAAGGGTAAAGCGAAAGAAAGAAAGAAAGAAAGAAAGAAAGAAAGGAAGAAAGAAAATGAAAGTGGGGAAAGAAAGAAAAGAATGAAAGAATGAAAGAAAATAAAAGTGAAAAGTGAGAGAAAAGAGTAAAAGCCAAAGAAAGAAAGAAAGAAAAAAGAAGAAAGAAAGAAAGAAAATGAAAGTAAGAAAATTAAGAAAAAAAAGAAAGAAAGAAAATAAAAGTGGAAAGTGAGAGAAAAGGGTAAAGCCAAAGAAAGAAAGAAAGAAAGAAAGAAAGAGCGAGCGAGCGAGCCCCGGAGAAACGAGAGATAATCTGTTGTAGAGAAAAGAGTAAAGGTAAAAGAAAGTTAAAAGGAATGTTGGGATTAATCAAACAACAGATTGAAAAGATTTTAAGACAAATACTTGCTTTGTTCTGTTTTTTTCCAATTTCTCTTTGTTATTTCGTGTTTCTCTTATGGCATCCGTCAACCTGTCTGTCTCTTCTTTTCTTCAATCAGTCGCCATGCAGACAAACGCCATTGAGAAAAACAGTGGCTGAAATAAACACAGCCTGTATTGCTAATTATTTTATCCCTCGTGGTCACTGTTTCGTATTTCCGGAGGCTAACTTTCAAAGAATCGGTCGTCTACCTCTCTCGTCTGATCCATTGTCCACCATATGGTCATGAATAGTCTAAAGAAAAAAAAAAAAAAACATTTCTGTAAATTCTCTCTCTTATCCTTCTGTTCTTGTTTCTTAGTTCGGTTCAAAAATATTCATGAAAGCCAACAACAACAACAAAAAACAACACCAACAAAAAAACAACAACAACAACAACAACAACAATAATAATAATAATAATAATAATAATAATAATAACTACATCTCTACTCATTAAGAAATTCCCAAGAAATACAATTTTATCCAAAATAGAAAAGATTGGGTTAAAGAGTACTGCATACAAACCTAGAAGATATGTTTCAATAACTTGGTCAAGGAGCGAATCAAACTCATTATTATTATTATTATTATTATTATTATTAATAATAATAATAATAATAATAATAATAATAATAATAATGATGATGATAATAATAATAATAATAGTACTACTCAGGCAGTTATGCACCATACGTGATATACGCTTAGGTGATCATGTATCTTTTGGTACATCACTGACGAGGCAGAATATTTCCCGCAGTAGGTTGCCACTTCTTTGTGCGATAGACCGGTTGCCATCCAAGGCTATAGAACCGGGTCTATCCTGCTATTTACCCATTGCTTAGAAGAGGATTCATATCTTTCCCAAGGGTATTAGCACGTAAGTGAATGTAATGGATTCGACTAGAATTCGAATTGGCTCTCAGATTCCTCATACCGAGCCGCTATACATTACTCTGACGTCTAATAATAATAATAATAATATTCAAGGAAGTCTAGATAGTGTCAAGATAATAAGATTTCCTGTGGTTATTGGAACTCTTAGAATCACATTGTTCCTTAGGCACCATTCCATCAGGCACTTCATTCAGCAACCCTCTGCCTTGGTTTTTGGGTCTTCTGCTAGTTTAAATTTAAGTGTATATATATACATATATATATATACG